CCGACGCTCAGGTGCACATGCCCACACTCAGGTACACACAGCCATACTCAGGCATACACCCCCACACTCAGGCGCACACGCCCACACTCAGGCGCACACGGCCACACTCAGGCGTACATGGCCATACTCAGGCACACACGCCCACGCTCAGGTGCACATGCCCACACTCAGGTACACACAGCCATACTCAGGCACACACGCCCACACTCACGTGCACACGGCCACACTCAGGTGCACACACCCACACTCAGGCACACACAGCCACACTCAGGCGCACACAGCCACACTCAGGCGCACACGGCCACACTCAGGCGCACACGCCCACACTCAGGCGCACACACCCACACTCAGGCACACATGGCCCCACTCAGGGGCACATGGCAGCACCTTTCCCATGTCGGACTGCTCCTGGGGCTCACAGGCCAAAAACCCAATCCCAAAATAGTCATTCCCTTTCCTTAGAACTCTAACAAATATTGTGAAAAGGTTGGATAATTCTGCACATAGATACATATTAATTGTATATATAGAAATGGCAAACAGCATGCTTTTTTCTGATTCCAAAAATAATTATGTATTGGTAACTGAATTCCCATCAGTATCGTATCTGGAATGTGAATCAGTGGTTTCATAATATACTAAAAGTGTACATTGCATAATATTTCTATGTTCATTTTATTTTAATGGTCATGAGATAAAGCATTTGGATCTGACCGTTGTCAATTTAGAGTTATAATCTTAATTCTGAATAATTGTAAGATAATTTTTAGGGCATATGATTTTATTATGAAGATTTGTGATGTATGACATTAATAGTAATAATACTATCAGTATTGCTACATTAGTACAATAATTACTAATACTAATACATTACACAAGTAGTTAAGTGGATTGATTTTATTATTTCTGGCTTGGAAGAGTGAGGTCAGGGTGCAAGTAAGGTAATGCACACATCTCACAGCCAAATGGTCTGGTCACATCTGTAATATGCATTTTAAAACCCCTAATGACTCTCATCTAGACATTAAAAATTAATTCTGATCACAAGGAAAATGATTTTTCTTTTATAATTTATTTAGATTAAAGTAGACTTTTAAACATGAAAATATATCAATAAAAATATCAGTAATTAGAAATTTAGCTATTATACTTGCCACGTAGGCTTTTAAAATAACATGTTCACCACCCAAGTGAAGTCTCACTGATAATTGGCCCCACTTCAAAAGAGTTATTTAGAAACTAGAATCACACAGAAGACGCAGGAAAGGATGGGATTTGCCTGAATTGTTGGTACAATTTGTGAGCCGACACAAGACAAGTGACTACTAAATTGGTAATAGGATTCACATTTTTCCCTCTTTAATAAAGAAAGGTTTCCTCTAATCTCACGCCAGACGTCACAAAGGCTACATGATGCTTGGATGCTAATTCCGGAAACTGCTTCCCTCAATTACGGACGCCCTCCTCTGCGGGCAGCTGCGGGGGGACACGGAGCTCTGCTAACCACGGTTGTTGCTTTTGTTTTCTTCTTTGCTCCTACGCTGTTTTCTACACATGCAAAGGGTACCTTAAGATGTTTGATGTACCCCCCGGGGCTAGACATGTGTTGATCCAAGAAGACGAGGCCTCCCCTCATGTTCTTGGTAAGTGTCGCTGTCAGCTGACTTTGCTTTCTGCTGCCAGAAACACTGAAAGGTCAAAGAAACAGACCCTCGGGGATGGTGTGGATGTGTGTACAGTACGTGAGGATCAAACGTGCATATAAATTAATTGAATGTTACGTGGCTGCCTATTGTTGCTTTTTAATGAGAAATGTCCCAAAGAAGAGCTTTAAATTTTTGGTAGGAATAAGTTCATTCATAATTGCATGAGGGAAAAAAAATTATTTGACAAGTTTGTATTTGTTATGCATGTTTTGCTCTGTTTGGGGGTATAACAGAAATGTGCTAATAATAGGCACTAAATTAAGGAGCAATAGAAAAATTCACTGTGTTTCTGTTGGCGAGAGAGCTCTGGTGTTTTGATTGATGGCACTACATGCAGACCCTTAGTTTTAATGCATTTTGAGCACATGGACTGAAAAGCGCCTTCAGGTGAATTTTTCTAGTTGAACAATAAATGGCTCTGACATCTGACACCTGCCAGGTTGGCTTTTGACTGACACATGCAGATTTGTGTGTAAGACTGATTATAATTTCCAGAAGAAGTTTTTTCTCTTTTATGAGAAATATTGACATGTGGAAATGTCACTTTAAAGGGATTTATTACTTAAAATATGTATAAACCAAATTTCCACATATTTCTTTGCTTATGAAAGCAGAAATCGAAGATATCTGAAACTAGGGCATCATCTACCAACCCCATAAATTTTGTGCCAAATTTTATGTGTGACTTTAAAAAGATGAATTGTTTTATAGTGTTTCACAGAGTTAATATTTGAATTCACTACAAAATGTCATAACAGTCTAGCTATCAGCCACAGCTCTCTTTCTAGTATTTAAAATTCCTTATTTTTTATTCTAGAATTCAGATTATTATGCTTGGAAAAACTACACTAGTTTAAAAGCTCAAAAGAAATAAATGTATTCAATTAAAATTCCTCATGTTTTCAATGGCAGTAACTTATGAAATTTTGTTTTCAAACTTAATGTTATATTCTGATAAGCACTTTAAAATTTAAAATCCCCACTTGTCAGTTACCCACTAAAGAGATACTTATTTTATTTCACTTTATTTTATAATATATACTAGCTCTAGCATTAAGTAGATGTATAGCTCTAGCATAGCATTAAGTAGATTTTTCTAACTACATAAGTAGGTGATACAGATTTAGAATTTGACAGTGACAAGAACTAAATTGTTGGCCTGAAATACACAGTAAAGAACCCACAGTGCTAATCCTGTCCTAGCATAGATCTTCCATGTTAATTATTGGAGAAGTATCCATTAATTTCAAAATGTTCCCAGCTTTCTGAAGAGATTATAGGATGAAGGAGTTAGAAATCATTAACCTCTTTGACAATGTTTCAAATGGGAATATTTGCAAACATTATTGTTGCCTATTTAACCATCTTGCCATTGTATTCGACTAGTTAGGGATGCTTCCTAAGGGTTTCAAATGCCTAATGAACAAAGGGAACCATATCAGAACTAACACCCATTTCGGATGGCTGGTTACTAACATCAGAATCATGGCCATTGATTTATGGAAAGGGGTGGGCCTACTAGGAGCCTGTCACTGTCATCCGATAAAATAAGATGCATGCCAATTACTCCTTTTCCTCCCTTCAGCTATCAAGAACCAGGCGACAGGCCACTATATTTTAAACGGTAAAGGGGAGGAGGCCAAGTCCAGGACCTTCATAGACCTCGGTGTGGAGTGGGATTACAACATCGAAGACGGCATTGAGACCCTGCACACCGATGGACCCTTGCACGACCCTGTGATTGTTTTGGTATGTGGCATCACAGGCTCGCTACGGAGCTGGCTGGGTTTATAATTTTGTAGTCAATTTCTATGAAAACGCTTTTACTTGAACCATGAATATTTGTCTGTTTTTTGTAATTCTGTTTATCTCCCCTCTGATCTTTGTTTAACATCTTCATATGTTTACTACATACACACCAAAACCTGAATGATACATTATATGATTTTTCACTTCAGCACTAAGCTATCTTTGAAAGACAACAAAAAATTAAAAGGTCCATTCTCATAGTTACCCACATATCTGCCATTTCTGGTGCTCTGCATTCTGCTTACAGGTCTGACTTTCCATCTGGGATCGTCCACCTGCAGCATGAAGAACCCCCTTCGGCGTTTCTTGTGGTCTGGATGTGCTAGCAAATAAGTCTTTCAGCTTTTGAATATCTGAAAGTCTCTCTAACCCTCCTCATTTTTGAAGGATGTCTTTACTAGATACAGAATTTAGGACTGTTATTATCTTTATCTTTCAGCCCTTTAAAGATGTTACGATCTTACAGGGGGTTCAGGGGACTTGGGGGCTGAGTGAAGTATCAGCTGTAAGCCCAAGTGGCCGTAGCACCCACAAGCTAAAGTTTGGGTGAGGCCTTAACGGGTTTACAAGTGGGGCCACTACCCAGAGGCAAGGAGGGCCAGGGGCCTCTGCAGAAAGGGAGAAGTGGAGAGGCAGTGTGTGCGCATGGTGATTCCCTCAGCAGCCCCCCCAGGGCATCTGGGGGGTCACAGAGCTCCAAGACGGCCGCAGCTGGACCCTGAGAGCCACAAGGCCTTCTCGGGTGTTGATTTAAAATTACAACAGTTTTTAAATTGCACACGAACCTTATGTCCACCCTGTATACTTAGCAGAGATTGGATGCAGTGAGCAGAACAGGCAGGTTCTGTGTGGCTAAAACCCTTCTGGTTCAGGCTATGTTAAAAACAACTGGGTGTGTAAAAATTTGCTGTAGGCATCCATGAGCTTTTGAGCTGATTGGTCTCATCTGCTGTGAAGAAAGACCCTAGTGGACGGAGTACAGGACCCACCTTGTACTTGCTTCTGTGACCGTCGTCTTCTGGAAACTGGCCATCACCAGGAGAGGCCTCATTTAGGTTGCTGCCCTGCGTGGCAGGCGCGGGTCGTCCCTGGAGCATTGGGAGGTTTCTCTCTTTATCTTTCTGTCTTGCCTGGTTAGCAGTCTGACTGTAGCACACTCAGCTTGTGGTGCTGTCTGAATGCAGGTGCTTGGGGATCACTGAGACTGTTGCTCCAGACATTGATGCTTTTGACCGAATTTAGGTAAATTGTCCATTATATCTTCAAGTCCGTTGTTTTTCCTCCCCGTCTCCCTCCCTTACTCCTGGGACTACTTTACATGGATGTTAAACCAGCTGAAGTTGCTCCACAAGTCTCAGGCTCTGTTCATCTTTTTATAATCTTTTTTCAAAATAAGTTTTTCAGACTTGATGATTTCTGCTGAGCTCTGTTTAAGTTCAGTGGCTGTTCTCTTATTTGATCTTATTTGAAGGATCCTACCCTGTAAATTTGAGCCTGTCCAGTAAATTCTTCATGTCAGGTGGGGTACTTCTCTTTCCTAGAATTTCCACTTTGTTCCTTTTTTATTTTTTGTAATTTCCATTTCTCTGCTGCGTTTCTGGGTATGTGCAGTGATTTTTCTTGACTTAGAAGTTCTGGGTCTTTGTGTCATCTGTTTCCAGTGTCTGACTTTTCTTTTCTTTTTGATTATGGGCCACATTTCCCTGCTCTGACAATTTTTCCTTGTATAGGCTGTGAGATGTTGGGTTTGCTGTGGCAGGCAGCTAAGTCATTGTCAAATGCTCCTGGCCCTTTGAGGCCTGGTTCTATTCTTCAGTAGGGCTGGTCTCTTTCAGGGTTGTCTTTATTCTTATAACATGGCCCTGCTGGTACCTGAAGTATTGGTGGGGCCTCTGCCCTCAGGCTGCAGAAGAACTTCTACTCTTAGCCTTGCCTGAACCCCAGCCTCTCTGTCACCCCCACCCCTCCAGCAGCCGCTCACTGTGGTCCCCAAGATGTCTTGGCCCAGGTGTGCACAGACCCTGAGTCAACTTTGCAGACCTGTAGTCCACCTTCTGTGACCACCCTGCCCTGCCAGTCCCAGACTCTGGTCTCCTCCTCAGCTCTGGGGCTGCTGGGTATGGCTCGAGCCTCTCCCTGTGATGGGATCCAGAACCTGGCTGCTGTCGGGAAGTAAGACCTGGCTGGTTTCCATTCTCACAGAGGTCATTGCCCTTTCCCATGTTATACTTTGCCAAAAACAAAAGTTCCCACATATATTCCATCCAGTTTGATCATTTTTGAAATCAGGAAGTCAAGTCCCTTACTCTTCCTGAATGGAATCAGGACACACGCACTGGCTTGAGTTGTGTTACTGGATTCTGTCTGGATTCACATTTATGTTCTTCTGATACCCTATACAAATTATATGAATCTAAAATCAAATCTTCCCACTCAATTTAACTCTTTTTTTCTTTGAATTTCTTTCTCTTTTGAAGTGTCTGTTCAAATTTTTTGCTGTTGTCAAAGTAAGTTTTTTTTCCTTCCTTTTGTTGAGTTTTGAGAGTTCTTCATATGCTGCGTGCGAGTCATCTGCGAAACGTGATTTGCAAATATCTTCCAGTCCATAGCTTGCCTTTCCCTCTCTTAGTAGTTTCTTTCGTGGAACAAAATAATGTATCTTTGCTAAAGTCCAATTTATCAGTTTTTCTCTTCTAGATTGATCTTTTGCTGTTACAAAACAATGTTTTGCTTAATCCAATATCAAAACGTTTTCTTCTACTTTTTATTTATTTTTTTTTTTTGGTACAAGTTGTATAGTTTTACATTTTACATTTACAGTTATGAACCATTTTGAGTTAATTTTGTATGAAATGTTAGTTTCTTACTTTGCACGTGTCAATATTAGTCACTGTTGCTGCAGAACAAATGGCCCCCAGATTTAGTGCTGACCATGGGCAGCACTGTGATCTGTATCTGAG